TTTTTTTCATTTTGTTGTACATTTTGAAAACTGTTGTAGATAGATAGAAACTTTAAAATTAAAAAATTATCAGCAATACAAGACCTGAAAACAGGTCAGCATAAATAAAATTTTTAGTTGTCTTCTTATAGGAGTTATTGTCCTGAAATGACGATTTTGGTTTAGCCTTTTTTTGAGTTTTTGGAAAAATCTATAGAAGTTAGAGAGAAACTGTTAACAAACAATTTATCAGCAATACAAGATCAACACTAAGAGATTTCAGTCATGAATTATATTCTAGTCTACACTGTAGGATGGTGGCCATTGATTGAAGATGCAGATAGACCTAGGTGAGCGACACAGGCTCTTTCAAGACCGTCTAGTTAAGTCTCTTCTTCTTCTTCCGCCGCTTTTAAATTTGAACTTGTCCGTCTTCTTCTTCTTCCGCCGCTTTTAAATTTGAACTTGTCCGCACCCGTTCTCCAAAACCGCTTGTCAGATTAACTTCGGGTTTCACAATATGTTAGGCTAACATGTCTAGTGGTGCAATAAGGGATTTGTTTGTACAATAGGGTTTATAAAGGGTACTTTGAGGGGCAAAAAGAAAGGAAGGTTTTACTATAGAACCCTACGGGATTTTATTTTTTCAAATTTTCAAATGATTATAAATTGAAAACCGTTTGTGATAGACACTATCTTTATAATTGAACATGTTCTAAATGATAAAGCACATTAAATGAAATACAGGGTTATTCCCCAGGGGTCACCCCACCCCCTGCCATTTAAGAAAGTTCTAATACCTTGTATTAAAGTGGTCAAGATCCCCACCCCTAAACCATATACATTCTGGTTTGTCATGCTAAGATGGTTTGAATGATATACAGGGTTAGTCCCCAGAGGTCATCCCGACCCCCTGCCATTTGAGAAAGTTCTTATATCTTGTAAATGGTCGAGATCCCAACCCCAAAACCATATATATTCTGGTTTGTCATGATAACGCACATCAAATGAAATACATGGTTAGTCCCCAGGGGTCACCCCACCCCTTGCCATTTAAGAAAGTTCTAATATCTTGTAAGTAGTCAAGATCCCCACCCCTAAACCATATTTATTCTGGTTTGTCATGCGAAGATGGTTTGAATGATATACAGGGTTAATCCCCAGGAGTCATCCCGACCCCCTGTCATTTGAGAAAGTTCTAATATCTTGTAAATGGTCGATATCCCCACCCCTAAACCATATATATTCCTGATCGTCATGTCTCGAACATTTGAATGACGTATAGGATCAGTCCCCAGGGTTTCCCCACCCCCAATGTTCTAGTATCTTGTAAATGGTCGAGATCCCCACCCCTAAACCATATTTTTTCTGGTTTGTCATGCGATGATGGTTTGAATGATATACAGGGTTAGTCCCCCGGGGTCATCCCGACCCCCTGCCATTTGAGAAAGTTCTTATATCTTGTAAATGGTCGAGATCCCCACCCCTAAACCATATATATTCCTGTTCGTCATGTCTCGAACATTTGAATGACGTAAAGGGTCAGACCACAGGGGTTCCCCCCACCCCCCATGTTCTAGTATCTTGTAAAAGGTCGAGATCCCCACCCCTAAACCATATATATATTCAGGATTGTCATGCGAAGATGGTTTGAATGATATACAGGGTTAGTCCCCAGGGGTCGTCCCGACCCCCTGCCATTTGAGAAAGTTCTAATATCTTGTTAATGGTTGAGATCCCCACCCCTAAACCATATATATATTCCTGTTCGTCTCGAACATTTGAATGACGTATAGGGTCAGTCCCCAGGGGTTCCCCCCACCCCCAATGTTCTAGTATCTTGTAAATTGCCGAGATCCCCACCCCTAAACCATATATATTCAGGTTTGTAATGCCAAGATGATTTGAATGATATACAGGGTTAGTCCCCAGGCATCACTAATGCATATAACTTTACTGGACCAAACCAATTTTCACTGGACTTTGCCCAATGTCAGGCGACCCTGGGAATTACGAATTATGGGAGCTTCGTTTGGGAGACTTCGTAACAGCATCCTGTTACAATCATTTCTTGTTTTAAGTACTATTATCAATCGGTCATCTATACTTGTACGAAATGCTTTTAAGGTCTGGCAGTGTCCATCTAACATTTACCTCTTTGTCATTGTTCAGTTGTCAACGTAAAGCTTTCGTTACAAGATCATTTTCTTTTATACGTTAAGCAATAGGTGAACCATGCATAGGCGGAAACATTATATGCAAGCAGGGGCAGCATCTGTGTCCCATGGACACATTCCCCATTTTTTTTTACATAAATCTGGCTGATAGTTTTTTCGTTTGAATTGTTTTACATTGGTCATTTCGGGAATTACAAACTAGTTCATCAAGCTGTTGCTGAACCATGACCAGGAGGTCAAGGACAATGGACATGCAAGATGGAAACCAGATAATAAGGCACCTGTCAACATTAGTCTTGCTGCAGATCTTTAATAAAAGGTGATAAATTGATAATCTATACATTATGATATCTGCCACAATTTCAGACCAAAGAACAAATGGTCCTAAGTGTTGAAAAGGAGCTGCTTATTGCACTGTTAGTGGAGTTAAGTTTACTCCTAAATTATATTAATTGTTTGCTATTTGTCTTGGTTTTTCTTCTTCACTATTGTCTTGTCTGTTCTTTATCTTAACATTCTTGTATATGTTCCCTATATAGCTTTCAGATTTATCTCCTATCAAAAAGAAAGATAATTTTGCCTGTATTTGTGTGTGTCTATTAAATATGCTTTATGATAGCAATTGTCAATAATGATATATTGCAATGCATTCTATAAAGACAAGCACCTAGGACACTGTTCTAACCCTGACATGAAGCTGTTTTATCAGATGTATATTAGGGCCACGGTGGCCGAGTGGTCTAAGTAGTCGAACTACTGTATCACTAGCCAGTCAACACTGAGGTTGTGAGTTCGAATCCTGCACGGGCAGGTGCACTCTACTCCAATCTTAATTGACTAGGATTGTCAGTTTTCCTACCCAAGGTCGATGGTTCTCTCTGGGCACTCCGGCTTCCTCCACCAATAAAAACTGACCACCACAAAATAGCACAATAGTGTTGAAAGTGGCATTAAGCACCAATCAATCAATCAGATGTATATCACCTCAAACAGCTATTCTGTTATGCTTTTGTTCACTTTGACTAATATCTGACATTTGGAACTGTTAATATCAAGTTATCAGGTAAACAGAAATATACATGTTGTGGTACATAAAACTTGCATATTTAATTGTTTTGTGAATTTTAAATTTCAAAACATCAGAGCTGCTTAAATTTTTAGCAGTTTGAAACTACAGAAATTAACCTAAAGTTGTCCTTTTTTTTTTAGAGGGATCAATCATGCCGACAAAAATGCTGAAGCCAAATCCTTCCTTTGCATCCAAATTAATGCCTCGTGTAATAAAAAGTAGCAATTCAATCACTTTAAAGCAGAAATCTGCAGGCATCTGATTAGTCTATAATGTACCAAGGCTATCATAATATGCATTGTTTTGTAATTAACTGTGCATATAAAAAGATATTATCTGTTCACAATACCAATTAGCTTAAATCTTGCAGTTTGAAGTCATCTACTCTAATTGATCAAATATGCAAAAGTTTAAGCCAATTGCTAGTGAAAGGTTGTTTATGGAGAACGTGCAGAGTAATAAAAAAAATATTCTTACCATTCTTTTTCAGTGTTTGGCTGTTTGTTTTTTTAGACAAGACGGGCTTATTAAACAGATGGGTGATATCAAGAACACTTAGTTTAAATAAAGTATGATTTGGATACGGAAACTTCTATCATAAAAAAATAACTAATAATAAACATTGTTTTTTTGTGCAATAAGCTAATGCTTTGTTCTGTAACTAACTATTTTTGTTTACTTACAGTTCGAATATTTTTCTATATTAAAGGGGCACTAGCTGTCAAATTCATGTTCACCGATTTGACTCAAATTCTCATATTTGATTTATAACAATGTTAAACATTTATCCAAACTATTAAAAGTCTAAAATAAACAGTTAATAGGACATGGGCATGATAACACATAGCTTCGTTTCGTGTGTATTTTAGTCTAGACACCATCTAATTAACTATCGAGTGGACCTCCAAAGTCATCCGATGACCATATAAGCCATGTAAACATAAATAAAGATATAAATAGATTAAGCGAACTCGTGCTATTGGATTTTTCTAGGTCTGTTTAATTTCATATTATAGATTAAAAATATGTTTATCATCGTTTTTACCTGTATAAGAATGATTTTTTGTGGATCGGATCAGTCAATCAATTGATTTACTTTTGTTTCTTTTTCAATGTTGACATTCTTTTCCTTTAAATAACTTTACACATACAATTCACCTGTTATCCATCTCTAGCTAAGGGGTTAAATTGAAGTTCACATGAATACGGATTCAATGAGGTCGAATTATTCACTTGCAAGTGAATAATTCATCATGAATGTTTCTTAGCTTATTTTGACAAAATTGAACCATACTGGCGGCTAAAAGCGAATAATTATTTCACTATTTCACTTTCATTAATGATTGAACAAAAAAAAATCATATATTAGATTTTTTATATATCTCGTAGCTAGTGCCCCTTTAATTACTTAAGTACTGCATAACAATAGTTTGATAACCATTTTAGAAATGTAAGTTTCCATATCGAAGTTGTACTATTTTTCTAACAGTATTCCTGATATCAACTATCTGTTCAATCCATCTAGAGTCAATCACTGGAATTCAAACTCAGATAAAAATATTTTATAAATACACTGCACTTGCTTCATACTTACAACCCTTCACTGGCATTTAGCAAAAATATTTTTACCAGAAAATCAGTTTGATTGAAAGGATGAGTTCAAAATCCAAACATTTTAAATGGCACAGTTAAAAAATCTTTAGTGATAATCAGGTTGATTCTTTTTATAATTCTGTTTACAGTAGGCCTCTAATTAAAGACAGACATTTCATGTAAAAAAAAAAAATTTAATGTCATAAAAAACAAATAACATCAGAACCATAACAAATGCAACAAAGATCGATGGCAAAAACGACGTGTGATGTACTTAATAAGGAAACATTTGAAATTATTCAACCCAAACTTGAATGTAAACTATAAGTCTGCTTAGTTACGTTTTGTTTACCCATTTACACTGAATTCTTGTGATAAAGAGTAAAACTGAAAATTTATACATTCATGGGCATAGGTATTTCATCCATGGTTAAAAAAAATAAATGGGGGATGTGTCCATAGGACACAGATGATGCCCCCGCTTGCATATCATATAAAGTTATAAAGGGACATAACTGAAGAACGGTAAGAGATACGCTACCCAAATTTGTACTTGATCTGAGTTTTGTGGTAATACGTATTGTGTATAAGTTTCATAAAATTTGGTTGAGGCAAACTTTAGAGAATGGAAACGAAAAATTCAGCAATTTTTCCATTTGTAAAGGGGCATGACTCTAGAACAGTAAAAGTGACACCCCCAAAATTCAAACTTGATCTGTATTTTGTGGTAATAAGCATTGTGTATAAGTTTCATAACATTTGGTTGAGGCAAACTAAAGTTAGAGAACGGAAACGAAAAATTCAGCAATTTTTCGTTTTGTAACTGGGCATAACTCTAGAACGGCCATGAAAATACTATCATTCATAATCCATGCAGAATTGAAAATTTTGTAAAGATACCACATCGAAATACATCAAATATATTTTCAATTCAATGTAAATGTTATTACAACATTAACACAGCAACCAGTAGAGGTTTATATGAAATGACATTAGGCTAAAAATGTATATAATTACATATATACTATACACCTTATCGCTATTTGCCCGCCATTACTGGACATCACAGAAGTTCCCGTAAAATTATGACGTCATAATAGAAAATATCTTACGCCACAATGGAAAAGTGATTGTTGTATGACGTCAAAAGTTCGAGCGGGACTGATTCTCGGGTCAAGCGGGATTAGCGATAAGGTGTATTAATTAACATTCTAAGATATTCTAAGGACACTTTGTTCAAGTCTTCAACTAAAAAAACATTATAAATTGATGCCTTAGTGAGAACAGTCATTTTAGAATTGCTATAAAACATTCGTTGCAGTATTGATGATTTAGAATTGTTGAATTTTCCAATCAATTGCCCCAATTTCATGACTCTTTATCATGGATCATACTGAATATATAAAACAAGTTATTTTCTTTATTTTTTCGAGTTTTTAAAATTTAAAATATATCTTTTCTATGAGATAGTGCAGGCAAAGTGAAGGCAAAGTTAAAAAGTTAGTAACTATTTTGTAATACCGATTCTGAAAATGAAATAATAATAATAACAGCCCCTATCCAAACATATTTTAAAAAGCAGAGTTTTTTTACATTATTTTTTTTCTTGTATCAAATTATTATTCTCATCAAGTATAGATAATAAATGTCAGAAAACAGTATATGTTCATTATTAATATATAAAATATTCATGTGTGTATATTAATCTTTAAATATTACAATTATTCAAATCAACAAAAATTTATTTTCCAGCAGTATCATATGAAGCACCTTAAAAATACCATACATATAGTTTGTCAACATTCTTTTTTATAAATTTATGAAAATATAAATAGATGTATATGAGTATCACAGTGGCGGATCCAAAAATTTTCATAAGTGGGGTCCCACTGACTGCCTAAGAGGGGGCCCGCTCCAGTCATGCTTCAGTGATTCCCTATATAATCAACCAAATTTTTCCCAAAAAAGGGGGGGACCAGGCCCCTGCCCCCCCTAAATCCGCCTCTGTATCACTCACTAAAAATGCAATTGATGATATATCCTATATTCCTAAGCACTTAAGATGAAAATATTTTCTCCTGGATCAAAACAGACAAATAAATGTTTCCCAGCAACTGTACTGAATACTTATTTAGAACAATGATTTATATAAGCCTCTCAGGTGTGTAATACATATGTGAACCTTTATAAAGGCACTTAAGTACACATCAACAAACATGCATCCAGTCTGAATAATGTATGCACGTCAAAAGCTCTTTGTACAATGAAAGAACTATCCTTGATGTTTAACTTTCTTGGGTTTATTTTCAGAAATATTTGTTCTGTATGTCAAGTTTTCATATTGCAAAACACACATTTAAAAGCTTATGTGTAAATGTGCATATATTAATTAGGTGTAAATAATTACACATAAGTATATTACTTATAACAAATAATTATGCCAAGTTCTAATCAATATATATTTTATAACAATAATAAACAAATTTGTACTGTAACAGTCACATGATTAATGTCTCATTATAACCCTAAACTGTCATAAAAATTTTATAAGGAATGTTAAAATGATCTAAGAATGCAGAATTTAAAAAAATTATTCATCACAGATAAAAAAAAAAAAATAGCAAATGATTTTGTACAAAGACATCAGATCAACTGATTGACTAATAAAGCTTGAATTTCTAGTTCTAAGCTTTTCCTTGTCAGGAAAATGTGCATTTTTCATTTTACTTATACTTTTTTATGAAGCCATATAAAAGCTAGTTCTTTCCCAATAAGGCGCTATCCAAATTATTAACACAAATAACTTCAATCATAGCCCTAAGTAACTAATGATAACACTTCTCAGGTCCGCTATCATATCATATAAACATCACATGACTGAGTGAAGTCTGATATCTGTGTATAGTCATTGCTGAAATAAATGCTACGACATAATCATTCCTGTTGGAAGTCTGGGTGTGGCTATTAAGTCATCGTTGAATGATAATTCTTGTGTCCATTCATATAGTTTACTAGCTTCTTTTTCCCATTCCTCACCATCTCCATCATCACCAGTGATACCATACTTATCAAAATAGTCATCTGGTTCTTCTGAAACAGCTGTTGGCTCTCTGGAATCTAACTTTAAATTACTTCCTTCCTATAAAATACAGAATTGTTTTGCCATGACTGATCTATTTTTCCAGAAGTATAATACAGTGAGCATTAGAAATAATAAATTGGAAAATCAACTTTTCATTAAATTTTTCTAAGATTCATTACAATGACCTGGTCTATACAATTTTTTTCTGAATTTCAAGGCCCACTGTCTGGCTTGTACATTTTTGAAACACTGACCCTGTCTAGAACAAAGTTTTACACAAGTTTTATGGTCTATTTCTATTTTTTGGCTTGCTTTTGTTTGTATCACCAATCCTGTCTAGACCATAACAGTTTTCTCTGGCTTTTATGACCCAATTGTCTGACTTGTTTAAGTTCATAAGATTTTTTTTTAACATGATATATATCACTGATACCTTAGTTATTAGTTAATCAGGGAGAATATCTTATATTACTGCATTATCATTGTCAATAAAGTGTTCCAGTTAACCATAATTTACAATTTCTGTCTAACAAGGGTTTTTCTGCATCAGTTCATTTTATAGTTTCTAAAACAAATCATATGTCTAGACAATAAATTGTTTCCTTATTTTCACACTGGCTGACGTGTCTGTTTACACATGAAATACATACCCTGTCTAGACCATACATTTTCCTAAGTTTGAGGGCCCTAAGCCTGGCTTGTTTAGATCTTCGACTAGATGGTTGACTGTATGACTGTGACAGTTTGGATTTAGGAGTGTGCATTGGAACTTGAGGTATAGATTCTGCAGTCCTGTAATTAAAGTCCAGTAAAACCTTAAATAAATACTCAACTAAAGTATGATTCATTGATTGATTGGTGAGTGATTAATATCTATTGGCAAATATTTCATGCAGATTAGAGACAACAACAAATTAACAATAATCTCAATTTATAAGTTCTACTAAGTGAGTCCTCCAATCATACATCAGCTGAAATCATACAATGTAATGGATGATGCTAAACCTCAAACAAATATCACTTCAACTCAATTAAATCAAGAAAGTGAGGAAGTTTTAAAGTATTGATTCCCTAAATATGCCAAGATAGAGTTGTGGCTTTAAAATATTGATAGTGTAAGGAAATATTCTGTATGACATGGTACAATAATTTTGGAAATAATCCTTAAACCAAAATAAAATAGTTTATGCATCAGTCACTATATTAAAACCACCAATAAACAAGAATAAACAAGAATATGTTCCTTCCTATCATCCAATCAGAGCTCTTACCGTAATTGTGATATTACTCTAATATGCTGACGTTTGATTTCTTGTGAAACAGGTCTTTGAACTAATACAGGTATTTCTATCTGCAACCGTGGTGACATTCTTTGATTATATAAGTAATCAACAATATCATAAAATATTGTTCTTCTAGATAAATCTGTAAATACACATTTGGAACTCTAAATCATTTTGTACTAAAATTATAATGTAAAGACTAGAGTTTTATGTTAACCATTTGATATATGTTCACAGTGATCCCCAAAAGTGTTTTATTAATACCATATGTTTAAATTTGAGTGTGATCCATTCAAAGTAAACTGTAGGAATGTTTGCACTGACAAACATACAGAAAAACTGATGGAAAGACAAAACAAAATGATCCCTATTTTTTTGGGATGTACATAAATATTTGCAGACATCTGTATGAGTTTTGACAGTCAATAAAGATAACATTTTAAGGCATTTTTCATGCAGAAAACATGTGCTGTTGTGCAAGACATTCACACATGTAAACTGGATTTTCAGACCAAATGTCACATGTTGTACAAACAAAATCAATATTGTTCGACAATGTTCACTTCAATTCCTTAAACCTAACCTTGACCTTTTACCAGTATTACAAATAACTTAATGTGATTCCTTAAACCTAACCTTCACCTTTTACCAGTATTACAAATAACTTAATGTGATTCCTTAAACCTAACATTCACCTTTTACCAGTATTACAAATAACTTAATTCTTATCATGCATACCATCTAATGTTAGCTTTCTCCAGTAGTTTTCCTTTCCACCCATAGTAGCAGGAGATTCATCAACATTGGCTAAATACTGAAAAAGATAAGGAGACTGATCAGTTGTGGCAGGAAATAATAACAATTTTATATGTAACTTTTCATCTTCATACATTTTTTATAAAGTATAAACAATTACATAAGTGTCAGGTTTTAATCCTTTTTTTTTAAAGAAATGAAATTATGGTCAAAGAAAACACATATGATAGTTGATATTAGTTTTTGATACAAAAACAGATATCTTTCATTTCCACCTGTCATATATCTTTATTTGTGATGAAGAAACACCAAGTTTGGCTCTATTTCAAATAATTTTTGGCACCCTGTGATACAGTTATGGCATTAAAATGAGGTGGTCAAGTAATTATCGGAAAACTTTATTTGGTAATCAAAGATTAAATATTTGTTCTTTAATCTTTCTACCTCAGTTAACTTTGTATCTTTATATATCATTCTGAATATGCATGAAATATTTGTCACTGGAGTTTAGGAAATATCAATCAACTATGGTATTTTCTGAAACACTATAAAAATAAATGCTGTTATACCTGCATATAATCTTTAAGTGTAGTAACATCAACTTCATCAGTTATCTTATATTGTTGTTGAAACATGGCATCTTGTAACATTTGGTCATAGAATTTTCTGTTTCCCATATTCCGTAAAGAATCTTCTGATGCCTGTTTTATAGATGAATATATAGTGTTTTGAGTTTAAGCTTTAATTGATGTACATCTGTATATTAATAGATTATAACATGCCCTTTTCCATATCTGCCCTATTATAATCCAGAGACTCCAATATTACCCCAAGCGCTAGCCAAGGGCTCATATGGGTCTCGAGATGATACTAGGGCCCTTATGGAAAAGGACATGTTATAATCTATTTATCACATATTATACAAATGCTTAAAAAAGTCGAAAGAATTTTATTATTCTGTCCGGCAAGATCAAACAATTTTGTCACCCACTGAAATAACTTCTTTATTACGAATCTCAACAACAGTACTTGAATATTATAATGTCAATGTCATATTTTCGTTTAGTATTATTGTTCTTTATTTCTTTAAAAAATTTCACTGTCATTTTAATCGATGTTCCTCATTTGTCACTGTTGTTATAAACACTTATGACATCATAACAGGGCACAATAACTGGTTATTTGCCCCGGGCAGGAATATGACAGGGCAAAACTGCAGTTATAACAGAACCCAATGTTTTCATAACAAATATAATAAATTGTATTATTTGAGTATAAGCTGAGTGATATAAGCTCTCTGTCCTTCCAATTACAATTAATGTCATTGACAGACAAAAGTTTTCATCATTTTTTAAAAAATTTCAGTATAGTAACATACAGTATGTGTAAGAATATGGGTATTGTCTCATGGAGAACATAAGTTAAGCTTCCAAGTTTTGCAACAAAATATTAAGTAGCTACATATAAGACATATTCAACAGAATTTGAGCAAGAACCTTGCACTATTATATACATATAAAAAATATCCCATTTAAGGACTAAGGAGTATGGTTATATTTGAATTAAAACTATTACATGATTTAAACTTAGACAAAAATAATTCTTCGTGTTTTAATGGTATGACCTACTTGCCATTGTGTCACTACACTGATTGTAAGAAAGGATTAAACAATTCTGGAAGTTCATGCAAATTAAGAACAGATGGGGCTGTGTATACATACATCCCAAACGAAACAACATATCCAGAAGCTGTGGTCACTGTACTATTTGAACTACCCCATTTTATTGATTCCATTTAGTACAAAAGTTTTTAATTTTCTTATCCCAGATTTTTCCCAAGTGATTGTCTCCTCTCTGGACCAAGCTGTGTTGTGCTCAATGATGGTAATAGTCAGTTGAATGAGATCTGCCTTACTGTGGTCAGGTGAACTCAAATGTCAACGGAGAGGAAGGTCTTATATATTATATATAATTTCATTGTTACTATCTATAGCTAACCGTATCTTAATATATAGTTTCGTTCTAAATATCCATAGTTTGAAATAAAGTATAAAGTATCTTATATCTTTTGCACAAATATTTTTTAGTGTTTTCTGCAGCTTTTGAAAAGGAAAGGGTACTGCTTTTTTCTAAGAGATCACTCTTAGTGAAATTGGCTACACTTTAAGGGCACCCTTTGCGTGGAGGACTACATTTTTAGGACACACTTTACATAGATATAAAGATAGAAAGTGGCAAGACTTGCATGACTAAGAGCATATGAATTGCTTTTTAGCAAAAAAAAGGTACCATTACATCGGCTCATGCTTGTACAAAACTGTTTAGGTCATTTGTCTTTATTGCTATATAATTCTGTTGGCTTTTTTTTTTAATAATTGAAACGGTGTTGATTTGTTTGGACTAAATCAATTATTCTTTTGATTTTAATTTATTTAGACAACAACAGTAAGAAAGCAGCAGTAAATTTACACCCAATCTGACGTCTCGATGACCAAATAGCTAACATGCTCATACTTAAAATGAAAATATAAACAAACAGCTCATTTTCTACGTAATGTTCATCTCATGCATTGTAATATTATAACTCAATGATAGCCTGGCTTGCTTTTGAATTGTCTACATTTTAAATTGTCAGAGGTACAAAGTTGAAATTGTCATTATTAGATTCAATCATGAATTGTTATGTTATGTTATGTTCAAACATAAATACAAAATTCATTATAAAGTAAAATAACAAAAATACCGAACTCCAAGGAAAATTCAAATCGGAAAAGTCCCTTATTAAATGGCAAAATCAAAAGCTCAAACACGTCAAACAAATGGAAAACAACTGTCATATTCCTGACTTGGTACAGGCATTTCCTTACGTAGAAAATGGTGGATTAAACCTGGTTTTATAGCTAGCTAAACCTCTCACTTGTATGACAGTGGCATAAAATTCCATCATATCGATAACAATGTGTGAACAAAACAAACAGACATAATAGGTAAAAATGTCAAAAATAGGGGTACAGCAGTCAACATTGTGTTATTATCTTAATCACTATAAAAACAAATAATAAAATGTCGGCCATTAAAATATTGATTTCGTCCAAAGGGAAATAACTGGTCATATTAAAAGATGAATCGCAGAACAGATCTTAAATTACAGACAGGCTTTATCAAAAGATGGCGCCAAATTTTTTTCTGAAAAAGGGCAGGGTGTCAAGAAAAAATGTCAGGGCGCCATACTACGCCAAAACCTCCTGTAGGAAAAACACTTTTTTTTAATGCATGTAGTTTGAGCATTTTTTACTTCATACTGAAGGTTATACTATTCATTTTCATGCAAGTTATTATGAGATCACTTTATCTATAACAATTAAATTTGCACAGAAAGTTTAACCATGAAAAATGTTACAAGGACATTGATTTTAAAGTTATTTTATACTTTACCTCAGAGGCAGGTTTAATAATTCTTCTTCCACTCATGTACTTTAATCCTTTTCCTTCTGTATGTATGTAAATCTTGAAAAATATCATTGGTGGAAATTCTGGTCCTCCAAACCTTCATGGAGAAGACAAAAATATTTTTAAAATTAAAGAACCTTTGTGAGCACACTCACATACCACACGCTCCCTCATTGTCACTGGGCAAACAATATCTCAAAGGTTCAAAGACTCATAACTCCTACAAAAGTCAACTGATAAAAATTTGTTGTGGATATACAAATCTACATATCATGTCCTTATTATCTACAAAGTACATAAAATTCTGTAGTTTGGTTTCAGAGGTTTTGCAGTAGTATATTTGAGCCAAATTCTGAGTTCAAAGTGGCTTAAATCCTAGAATAAAAATTGAATCATAAATTCCTGTTGATATGAACATCTTCATAGTATGTCCTTATTATCTACCATGTTTCATGAAATTCTATTGTGTGGTTTCAGAGGAGATGTGATGACAAACTGTTGCAGTAGTATATTTATGCCAAAATTCTAAGTTCAAAGGGGAATAACTCCTAGAAAAATAAACTGTTGACACAGAGATATGTCTTTTATAATTTTGATAGTATAATGCAAATATTGAATCCAAATGGCAATATTTAAACATGTAAACTATGCAAAACATTTAGAGTCAATGAACCATGATTTATGGTGCAGGACCAAATAACAGAATGGAAATGAGAAATGCCAATGCTTATAAAACTGCAAACCAAATATCATTGACTATCATCAAATATCATAAGAGGATCCCTTTACAATAACCTAAACATAAACTTTAATTTGTAAACAATGTCAAAAGTTTCAAAGTCAAGGAACCATGCTGAGGGGGTTGGGGCCATATAATCACCATGGGAAAAGGACTTGCAAATGCTAATACAACAGCACAGTGATTGGGAAGGCCTCGCCCCATGCGCAATTGGCGCATCGTTGAAAACAATGGTGCAACAGGCTATGAAAATGAAGGGCTTGTGTGCCCCATATAAATCTATAATATCAATACAACTGGTAGGTATGCAAGATCAATAATACCCTCTAATGAGAGATTTTATAAATTTTACACAGGACAAATTGAAAATGAGATACATTTCTTGATTGAATGTCCTCAATATAACAAAATTAGATCTAAATATAAAATCAATGAGATAAATTCAAATAATTGATGTTACCCCTGCCTCTGGACTACAAAAAATACACACAAAATACAAGAAAGATGACTTAAAGTATGGCCCTGGCTTCTCTGTACAAATAATAAAACATATTGTAAATTGTGCACAAAGAATGGTAAAAAAATACCTTCACAACTGGGTGTGTAACTTTTAAAACATCATCAATGCAGCACCATCAAGAAACATCTGACCATAAAAATTGATGGAAGCCCCAGTGCTACAGTATGATATGAACAATGCAATAAATTTAGCAAATTCAGAGGAGGATAAGGCAGTTCTGAAGGCCATGAAAGTTGTATATTGGATGGCCTCAATACTTATAAATTTATTTCCGAAATGGCCCATTATAGTTTTTCAATGGCCCCATGTTATTTCAAATGGCCCCATGAACTGATCAAAATTGGGCCATAGTCCCATTGTCAAAAACTCCTTCCCAATCACTGCAGCATACAAAATATCATTGACATAACATTCGCGGTTCCCCTTAAACTGATCTAATCACAAACTTAACATGTAAACTATGCAATATATTCAAAGTCAATAGACCATGACTGAGGGGGCAGAGCCAAAAAGTTTCCATGGAGATGAGATGTGCCAATGCTAATGCTTTTACATACCAAAAAGCATTGACCTACCACTTGTGGTTCCCCATCAACTGACCTAATCACAAACTAATACATTGTTGATGCCTCCCTGATGCCTACATCAGAAACAGCATACTAAAAGTCTCCCTTGTTGACTCTGTCTAGGCGAGACAAAAATTGAATCATAGTTTCCTGTCCATATGCACATCTACATAGTATGTCCTAATTATCTACAAAGTCTCATGAAACTCCTGTAGTGTGGTTTCAGAGGAGTTGCGATGACAAGAACAGGACTGATTGACTGACCAAAAACAATATACTCTACAGAACTTTGTTATGATATCAATGTTTTAGTTTTCACACAAATAACTCTTCTTTAAATAAGCTATAGAAGGAACCAATAAAGTTATTGACTGGGTTGGAGTTTTGTTCATGATTAAATCAAAATATCAAAAATAAAATAAAGATAAAATACAGGTATTGAAGACCCATTGATGTCCTTAGGCTTTTTTTTGCTCTTTGGTGGGGTTGCTGTCTCTTTGACACAATCCCCATTTCCATTCTTTATTCTATTAGGCAAATAAAAAAATACCTGACTATATACACAACATATACCAATTAAAGTGACCTCAGTATTTTATGTACCTGAATCTAACTCTGACTTGTTGAAATTTATCGGCTAACAGCTCTGCTTCTTTTGGACATACTTTTCTCAAAATTTCTTTTGACAATGAATTTTCCTGCAAATAAATATCATGCTATAAAATTAAAAAATTCAAAAAATTTCACAGTATTAAACTTTACTAATGAAGCAATATGTTTTTATCTGTTATTTTTTTTTTATCTGACAATTACAAATGTAAAGCAAAGGTTCAATTTCTGACATTTAAAAAAAAATCTATTGAATAAAATATCAAGTGAAAACTTACTGCAGCACAAACAGCATGTTTTAATAGTTTAAACATTTGTCTGTCTCTAAAGGCAATCCACTGTCTCTCAATGATTGTAGCTGCTGCTTGTCGAATTAGTCTATAAAGAAAATATCAAAATAAAGTCATTAGCTAACATTAACATGTAAATATGATAGGGTCTTAAATTAGAATGTTAAAATTTACAATCTTCTATCATCCTGTTTCAAAGTGAACCACTTATTTCTAGAGATGGCAATTGCTTAAGGGCATAAGACACACTGCTTTGAATACAAAAGAGTTTTTACATTGATTTTTTATTGAAATTTTGACACAAAATGCATGTTTACTCTCAATATAAGAAAAAAAACAATATTCCATCATGACTTAATTTTCAAGATAAATTAGTTTGAATTTGGCATGTTTGAGGTAAAAACACAATACATGTCAATATTTTCTCAAAAAATAAACAGGGCTAAAAATTAGGGGTAAATTTTTTAGCTTAAAATAGAAAACCAACAAAACTAACATGCCAAAGTGTAAAAGTTTGCACAACTTGTACATTTCAAAAGTACAGAACTTACTCTTTTTCAGATCTTTGAGCCTGAGCAAGTCTAGAATTGGACTTTGCTCTGCTTTGATGCTCAAATTCTTTAGAACTGACAGGTGTTGTTGTCAATGGTCTTGTTCTGCCAAACTCTTGTCCCTCTAATGTTGCTACAAAATCTCCATGAAGACTTCTAGATGGACTTACTGATTTTCTCTTGAATTCATCACTTTGTGCTGATGGTAATTTAACATTTATGGAAGCTCTGCTGGTAATACTTTTAGCATCTAGACTTTTCCCACTTTTACCACTTGGGGAGTCTCCCATGGTAAGTTTGTGTTGTTGAAAAGAGGTCCTTACTTACATTGGAAATCTGCAAGATACACATTCTTGTAGTTATCAAAATATATATTGTTCAAACCTGTAAACACTAGAACTATATTGGTTTATGAATGGAGAGTGGTGATCAATTGATTTTTTCAGAACTGTGGCCACTTCATGAGGAAAGATGATGAATTCCTCTGATGACATAATCCTGAAAACTTATCCCAACTACTTGGATGGAAAATGGGGTCAAAAACATGACATACATGTATGTCAAAATATAAACAATAAATCCACATATCAAATAGTATTGACCAATCACGTATAAGGAAAAGACCTCAACCTGTAAACTTACCATAGGACTGGCTGAAAAGATGTCATCATCAACAACCTACATTTAATATTATGTTATTCTAGCTTAAAAGTGGGAATAGGAAAATTTCAGTCTTGTCTAACAAGAATTATATGGCAGGCGAGACAAACAAGAGGCTCTCAAGAGCCTGAATCGCTCACCTGTTATTTTTTTGCTTAAATCTTTCATCAATGATTAATTTTGCTTTTCAATATATATATTAATGAGTGGCTTAAAAATGCCATTTAAATGTTCACTATATATGTCATATTTTCTTCAAAAGCAAATAAATGCATTTTTTACCCATATGTCCCATTTTAGCGATAGTGTATGTTTCTTGACGTACAAGGAAATAAAATACAAAATTTATACTAGATTTGTTTGAGATTTTTAAAGTTAAAAAAACATAAACAACTTGTGTAAAATCGTCCTTAAAGGTGAATAACTCTTTAAGGGGTCAATTGACAATTTTGGTCATATTAAACTTTTTCGTAGATCTTACTTTGCTGAACATTTATGCTGTTAACAGTTTATCTTTATCTTCAATAATATTCAAGATAACCAAAAACTGCAAAATTTCCTTAAAATAACCAATTTGGTGGCAGCAACCCAACAATGGGTTGTTCTTTTTGTCTGAAAATTTCAGGACTGATAGATCTTGATCTTTTGAACATTTTTACCCCATGTCAGATTTGCTCTAAATGCTTTGGTTTTTGAGATATAAGCCAAAAACTGCATTTTACCCCTATGTTCTATTTTTAGCCATGGTGGTCATGTTTTTTTAAAGAAACAGTAAATAAATCACAAACTTTATTCTAGATACCCTAAGGATCATTCAGCTTAAGTTTGGTTGGAATTGGTTCAGTAGTTTCAGAGAAGAAGATTTTTTAAAGTTAGAAAACATTGTGTAAAATTGTCCTTAAAGGGCAATAACTCCTTAAGGGGTCAATTGACAATTTTGATCATATGAGCTTATTTGTAGATCTTACCTTGCTGAACATTTTTGCTGTTCACAGTTTATCTTTATCATTAATAATATTCAAGATAACCAAAAACTGCAAAATTTACTTAAAATTACCAATTTAGTGACAGCAACCCAACAATGGGTTATCAGATTCAACTGAAAATTTCAGGGCTGATAGAACTTCACCTAATGAACACTTTTACCAAGTCAGATTTGCTCTAAATGCTTTGGTTTTTGAGATATAAGCCAAAAACTGCATTTTACCACTATGTTCTATTTTTAGCCATGGCGGCCATGTTATTAGACGAAAGAGTAAATAAAACACAAACTTTATTCTAGATACCCTAAGGATCATTCAGCTTAAGTTTGGTCGGAATTGGTTCAGTAGTTTCAGACTGACGACGACAGATGACGATGGACGCTAAGTGATGGCAAAAGCTCACAGTTCCTTCGGAATGGTGAGCTAAAAATATAACAGGAGTGTATATGCTGAAATGTCTCGCTGGTTTAATTGATGATTCAAGATCAAGTATCATATGAGCTTAACTGTGTTCTAATATGACACTCTTCTTTCCCTTTGTATACAAAGCCATGTTCTCATTCCAATAAGTTTAGCTAACATACATGCATACACATTCCAGACAGTTGTGTGTATAATGTAATATCTGAATGTTTTTTCTTTGTTTAGAGAATTTGGAATTAATGGCAGATTTATTCACTACCTTATAAACTTGGTACAATTTGTAGTTTGATATATTATATAGACAAGAAATATGGTAAGAAAAAGTCAACATCTGTTAAGTCTATATGAATCTGGGCCAAGAACAGTTCCTGTTTGTCCTGTTACCGGTTTTCCCATATTCATGTTGGCCCTGTGTCTGTTGTTACTTTTATTTTTATTGTAATTTTCTTTTTCTTATCTGGGGTCTGTTTATTTGAAAGAAGAAGTCAGTGATATCATCTTTCACTGTAGATATTGTACCATGTCTCGGACATTTGTCTATACCCATTGTAATATCTTCGATTATTCCGGGAAAGTTCCGCACAAATCTTCAGGACATTAACTTATTACGTTACGTCGCTACCAATGGTATATTTGTTAGTCATTATTAAAATACCATTTGAATAATCAAGTCTTGCTTGGATCTTTCACGCATCAGTACACCTTTCCTCCAGATGTCCTTGGATAGCCACTTTGATTTTTTTTATACAGTCCTGCAATTAAAACCCAGAGTCTTCAATGGTGCCCCCATCATTGATTGCTGTAACCTTTATTGATGTCACTGATGATGTATTAGCGCTAAAGTTTTGAGACATGCTGGTGTTTTAATGTGGACATGTTTTGACGAAAAACAATTATCGGACACGTTTGGGAGATGTGACGTCTTGGCAGTTTGCGATTTTAAGGACACGTTTTAGCAAAAGACACGTTTGGGGGTATCAGACAAGTTTTTTTGGGGAATGGGAAAGGTGTTTGTCAACGTATATTTGATCCGCCTAACAGAAGTTCCACTGGAAACTTTGTTATAAACAATGTCATAATATCTGTTCCTGTTGGAACAAATATTCTATACCATTTATTCCGTTAGGAACATTTACTGTAATATTTATTCCAGTGGAAATAATATTCCAGAATATTGTTTCCATTTGGAACTTATATTATGAAGGAACTTCTATTCCGTGACAGGTTGAAGGACACGTTTTGAGAGTGTTACATGTATATTGTCAATAAAAATATGAAAAAGTGTGGTCGATCTGATTGTGAGGCCGAAACGTCTCGAAAGCAAAGTATGGTTGTGAAGAATGTAATTTATTGTGTCTGATTGGATTTTTTTTCTTTGGGACAGTTGTCATCAGGATGGAAAACCTTGTATAAACGAATGTATTCATTCAATTATTTAGATATCGCTGGCATGACCCTTATATGTCACAATATATGGAATATTAATTATTACCACATTTTTGTCTCCGTCTCCATAATAAACAATATGGCGGGACTCATTGGTTACCTATCCCGGCATGCTAGGGAATAAAACATAGATTGTGATTTCTAACACTCTCTAATTTTTTTTGAACTGGATATGTATGAATGATAGAAGGGAAATGTATAGTTTAAATATTTTGTTCATTTGTAAATACTTAATACTGGTTCTCTGTAACTATTTAAACTTTTATATAGGGAGTGTGGCACGCATGGTCATGGATTTTCTTCAAACTTCACACACTTACTAGTCTTGATGAAACAAACAAAAAATGGCAAAATTTTGGTTGCTAAGCATATCGGTTGCTATGGCAACCGATGACCAGTGTTACCTGTTCTGGATATCTATGATTTTAAGCTGAAAATGGCTATTTTCAACATAATTTTTCATAATAAATGATTAAAAGAAAGAATATTTTTTTATGATTTTATTAAATATGTGCATTTTATTAATGTAATTTAATAACTGATATTTTCATATTCATTTTCAATCATAATCACATATACCCCCCTTTTTATGTGGTTTGCATTAGGTAAAAAATACCCTTTTGAGGTCATTTTTGAATGCTCACCATATTTTTTTGCGGACACCTGAGTTAAAGTCAACCATCAATTCATAAATACCATAGTCTTATCTTATCAATGATGCGAAAAAGTAATGGGGAAGTATGTCTCATTTTTTTGTTACCATGGATACAAAAAGCTTAGTTTTCATTTTTTCAGAAAAAAAAAATTTTGAAAATTTTTGAAAAAAAAATTTTTAAAACCTAATTCTGCAGTCAGAAAAAAAAGATAAATATACAATTTGTAGAAATGATTGTAATCATCAAAATTTGAAACACATTGATACATAACGGTATTATAGTTTTAACTGTTGCTATGGAAACAATTTCATGATGATACACAAGTTTAAAACAATTTTGAAAAAGTTTCAGTTAGTTTCTTAAATGTGCACAAAAGTAGGAAAACGAAAACACTTATTAAGTTTCACTGTATACACACATGTGTATATATAAATAGTTTTGCTGGTATAGTATATCGATAATGGTGTTACCACTTGAATGAAACAAATACAAATTCTCTAATCTGGATAAAAGTGCTGATTATGAAGAAATGTCAGTCTATTTTTATGACCATGAAAAATGTTCAAAAAAAACAATGACTAAATCTAGAAAAAACAAATAAAATCATTTAAAAAATTATATATTCAATTATGCAATATTTGCCATTGAATGTGTTGCCATGGAAACAAGCAGTCCATTTGCAAAAATACTGATAAGTGCTAATTTTTATACGGCCGCAACAATTTTTTGGGGTCGTATATTGGTATGACGTTGGCGTCGTCGTCGTCGTCCGAAGACGCATTAGTTTTCGCACTCTAACTTTAGTTTAAGTGAATGGATCTCTATGAAATTTTACCATAAGGTTCAATACCACAAAAGGAAGGTGGGGATTGATTTTGGGGGTTATGGTACCAACAGTTAAGGAATTAAGGGGCCAAAAATAAGCATTTTCTAGTTTCCAGACAATAACTGTGGAACGGTGTATGGATCTCTCTGAAATTACACTACAAGTTTCCATACCACAAAGGGATGGTAAGAATTTGCTTTGGGGGGTTATGGCTCAAACCGTTTAAGAATTAGGGGCAAAAAAGGGGGAAAAACAAGGTTGTCCTGGTTAATGGACAAATACTTTAGTACAAAACATAATTTAAAGCAGTGTAAGGGAGATAAATCAAATACATCATTGAAATTATCTCCCTTACACTGCTTTTAAATTATGTATAAAGTAATGGTTAATGAACAATTAAGATAATTTCAAACAGTGTAAGGGAGGTAATCCAAATACAACTTTTTGGTTACTTCCCTTACACTGCTTTTAAATTTTGTTTAAAGAAATGCATATTTATAAAGGAAGACCAGTAAAAATATCTGCAAATGTTGCATCTTTTTTTTTTACAATAAAATCCATATAAAAGATTTGACACTATATTTTAAATTCTATTATAAAATAGATTAAGACTATGGTAAATTTAAATGGGTAATTATGGTTGCAAACTCCATTGGAAATTTGAATTGAGATATTATGACCATATCTTGAGGGAAAGAATTTTTTGGGGAAAAAAAAGGGGGGGGGGGGGTTTAAAGAAATTGTGGGGGTCAATTTTTTCTCATTTCAGATTTCAGAAATTAAAAAGAATTATTCTTCAAATATTATTTTTTTTTCAAATTTCAAATATTGAAAAATTTCAAGAAGTAATCTTTAATTGCACAGTATGGCGCATTAGATTTGTAAAATCTTTGACCACATTTATTTATTTGTTATGCCGAATCTAACCGTGTATTTAGATTTTTAATTTTGGGTCCAGTTTTCAAATTGGTCTACATTAAGGTCCAAAGGGTCCAAAATATAAACTTTGTTTGATTTTAACAAAAATTGAATATATGGGGTTCTTTGATATGCTGAATCTAAACATGTATTTAGATTTTTGATTTTTGGCCCAGTTTTCAAGTTGGTCGAAATTGGGGTCCAAAATTAAACTTTGTTTGATTTCAACAAAAATTGAATATATGGGGTTCTTTGATATGCTGAATCTAACCATGTATTTAGATTTTTGATTTTTGGGCCCCGTTATCAACTTTGTCCACATTGAGGTCAAAAGGGTCCAAAATTAAACTTAGTTTGATTTTAACAAAAATTGAATTCTTGGGGTTCTTTGATATGCTGAATCTAAACATGTGTTTAGATTTTTGATAATGGGCCCAGTTTTCAAGTTGGTCCAAGTTGGGGTCCAAAATTAAACTTTGTTTGATTTCAACAAAAATTGAATATATGGGGTTCTTTGATATGCTGAATCTAACCATGTATTTTGATTTTGGACATTGGACCATAATAGGTAAATTAAAAAAATTGAAGTTCTTAGACCACATTCTTTCTGTGTCAGAAACCTATGCTGTGTCAAATATTTAATCACAATCCAAATTCAGAGCTGTATCAAGCTTGAATGTTGTGTCCATACTTGCCCCAACTGTTCAGGGTTCGACCTCTGCGGTCGTATCAAGCTGCGCCCAGCGAAGCATTTTATTACAAATTCGTTTAATGAACTTCGATACATATAGCAAAGAGTGTATACAATTTTGTAAAAAAAGAAATGATGGATTAGTTGTGGTTTGCTTTATGTCCAGTGTCAAACATCTCATGCATATTTCAGAAGAGAACAAAACCAATAAATTTAATAGGAACATTGTAGGTCCTGTGCTAGTCTACTGACCAAAAATTAATTAAAGTCAATAATTTGAAACAATTCAACACAATAAAAGATAGAACCAAAAGAGTCAGACGTTGATCCTCTAAATAAATGATAATTGACCATCTAACCTTTCTATAAAGGAAAAAATACCTTTATTATGAGCTGTTTAGTTTTCTTATTGATTCTAAACTCAATGCTGAAATGGCAAAGCATGTATACATGTGGCTATACGTTTTGAATAATATTGTATTATTGGATGATGAGTATCTACATGAAGATCATTTTTATAAAAGTTATAAAAAATCAAAAAAATCAAAAAGGTCCTTCAATAGGTGTAACCTGGGATGAAGGCAGACAATTCGAAATATCACTAGAAATCGGGATCAATTGGACAAGGACAGAAATTTCAATAGATCAACTAGGGAGCCCCTAAAAAAAGGGCGTAACAAGCAAGGGCGGGTAACGTCGGCCGTCGACCCGATGGTCCCTGCTATTCATCCGAAACATTTCTTGTTTAACATTCTGGCAGAGGAGGAATTTTCAAGATTTTCCAAAAAGTTCCGTTTCCCTAAGAGGACCCACGGAAAATCGGTCAGCGGGTGACTGCTGGTCTTACAACGAGCAGCAGGGGGAAAATATACCATCTAGACAATTGTCATATCAGGGGTACCACTGACTGCCTTAATAGATGCCCGCTACATTCATGCTTCAGTGATTCCATATGTAATCAACCAAATGTTTCCAATGAAAGGAGGGGGCGGGCCCTCATGGCCTCCTGGATCCGCCTTTGGTAGCACTATATTTACATTAGTAAAAGGCATTGGATTATTGAAATTTGAGGAAAATAATAGTAATCTTAATGGATTTTTAGCAGCAAATTAAAACATATTGACAATATAATAACTCTTTACACAGGGTAACTTTAAAAGAATTATATGCATGTACATATACTTTGATTTCCACTGAAAGCCCATTACAGAAAGATGTTTCTCAAAATTAGTATATAATTGTCTTTCTTTAAACCAAAAATAATTTAGATTTTACTTTGAAGCAGAAGTCTATGTTTATAACATATTATACATGTGACTTTTTGTCCGTGACTTTTTGTCTGTGACTTTTTGTCTGTGACTTTCTGTCCTACATTCTGACCGTTATCATGACTAGGAAAAATGACTTTATACCTATTTAAATGTAATAGGCTTTGCATCAAATTTATAGAAACAATTAGATTGAACCATTAATTTTATCAAATAAGAAAATATAAAATGCTTTACAAACTTTCGGGAACATTTAAAACTAAGACAAGGCTCTGGTAACCCTCCAGTTAAGTCCGCGAATATGTTTACTTATATTTTATGAAAATATTTTAAACTACAAAGATATCGTGCATGCAGGGGCTCGGGCATACCTCAAGTAGTCTGCGAAATGTGTATTTGTTTTTATGAAAATATTAAAAACTGCCAAGATATCCTGCACAAGGCTCGCGCATGCCTTAAGTAGTACGTGGAAATAACTATTTACTGTTAGAAAATATTAAAAAACAAACTATATTGAATTTATCAACTTACATGTATGTATGGCCTACTTCAAACACACCTTTTGAGTTACTTTATATTTGTGATCAAACGTGTCAAATTATAACCAGTAATATACAACATAATTTACAACACAGTTAAATACAATATACTACTCAATACTATAAAAAGTTTAAATAATTCGGTGCTCATCATAGTACCCTAAACTGTTTTTCCCAGTTTTTTACCATTCAATCTTAATTCTATCTTTTTT